CTCCCCCTCCACCGGATCTGCTCCATGTGGCCCCGATGTCCCATCTCCTAGACAAAGTGGGATGGCACGGGGGTGCACGCCTTAACTCCTCCACCAGGCACGATGGTCCGGACACCATCAACTACCTACGCAAGACGTTAGCGGAAGCGATGTGCCCAGAAGCCGCCACTCCCACTGGTAGGGAGGCCCCACAATGGCATCGAGTGTGGCTCCAGCTCCCCAGATGGAGCAACTCGACCCCCCGATCGATGGGCGCTTAGGTGGAGCATCCGCACCCCGATCAGTGACCACTGAAGGTTGGCCCTAGAAGGCTGGCTCGAGAGGATCGGGACCTGCTACCATAGCCCTCAGAAGGGCATGGCATTCTAGATGATCTGTTGGCCCTGAGCTAGAGCCTAGATGCTCTCGATCACCCGACCCATGGCAGGCTCTGATCAAAAAGGAGGGCGCCCCTGGGCCTAAGGTCGGCAACTCCTAGATGAGTTTGCCGAGCCCTCGCTCGAGTCGAAGACCTATGCAACATAGGCACACAAAGGGATTAGCACCATCATCACTCAGCCACGATAGCCGAGTAGCACCCATCACATTGGAGAAGAAGGCCCCAAGCAGGGCACAACACCCTTGTTAGCGGAAGCCATCCTCGCCAAAGAGGGTTCGGTCACCAAAAGATCGAATTCAGCCCTTGGTCACCATCATGCCAAGTGAGGCCACGAAGGGCTTAGGGTCTCCTGATGAGATCCTAACATATGGGTATGTTAAGCCTTGGGTCCAATGGTTCCCGAACAAAGAAGACACCCCAACCGACCCCTCTAGGATCGCCCTGGGGCTCGAGGGCTATACCCATCAGGTATGCTCGCGCGCACCCTCTAGAGAAGAAGCCCAGTCGAGCCTGACTCCACCATGACTTCGCTTGGGGCTTGGGGGCTTGCCTGAGCCCCAAGGCTCCTGATCTACGACAACGCATCGGCCAGGCCCTTGGCTCCTGCCCCGCCAATGATGCCAGCCAAGGCCTAGGCACAAGAAGACAAGCCTTGAACTACCGAGGCTCGAGGGCTCCCCTAGCGCTGCCCCTTGGGCACGGCATTGCCGGCCACTTTCCCGACAAGGTCACGCACGGGGCGTGACACAAGAAGACAAAACTTCCCAGCGGCCTCTAGAGGCTCGGAGGCTCCTGGGCCCGCGCGTCAGCCTCTGGAGCCGACCTCCTTCACCGCCAAGAAGACTCCAGAAGGGCCACCTAGGGGAGGCCGATCCAAGCCAACACAACCTAACATGTAGAGTGTCAGAACATAGCAGCCGGATGACGCCCAAGGCTTCTTTGGCTCCACGACACCGCCACGGTCCACGACATGTTGCTGCCAGGCCCTCCTAGACTCCGTTGTATGTAGACCATAGACTAGTTCCCCCAAACCACCATGTACCTGACTTATCTTGTTATATAAGGGATAAGGTCGGACCTAGGGGGGAGGACAACAGGACGATCATCAGAAGACAGATCATTCCATTGCATTCCTTGGCCTCTGCTCAGCACCGAGAGCAAGGCAACCCACAGAGGGGCACCGAGAGCTCCCCCACCGCATCCCGTCGTCTTCCTCCTCTCTGACGAGGGGAAGGCACCACCGGCGACGAGGCAAATTTAGGATTAGCACCGAGCTAACCTCCTACCAAATCTCTCTACAACCCTATTGTAACCCTCCAATTTTGGGTGCTTTTGAGTATAAGGATCATCAGTTGCTGGACGTAGGGCACCGATTGGCCCGAACCAGGATAAACCGTTGCCTCCTCTCTGTGATTCTTGTGTTCTTGAGTCCACCCGAGCCACCGGAGACCCGTACTCTGACACCGACTCGAACAACAATTCTTGCCGTGGTTCCGACCCCGCGACAGTCGCGTCTATCGGGCCTCGTTTGGGCATGTTTGGGCCTCGACCTATTAACCGAGGCGGCCTCCAAAAATGAAGGCATTTTTGAAGGCGGGCCTCTCGGTTAATAGATTTTAGAAGGCTGTTATTTTTAACCGCCTCCGTAAATTAATTTTTTGAGGCGATTGATTGTGACCGTCTTGGTTAATAAAAATGACCGCCTCGGTTAATCCTAGGCATTAACCGAGGTGGTTCAAATATCCGCCCGCCTCAGAGGCCCTTTGTCAAACGCCTCGGTTAAGTTTTATTGTAGTAGTGATAGTAGATGTTTGCTCATTATGTTTTTTTTAAATTATAGTACAAATGCAAGACGCTCATATACATGTACACACTGATCTTTATGAAAACGTGCACACACCACTACTATAAAAATGCTTTTAGAAGACTGAGGATTTAATTCACATATGGGTATATTGACCACTGCCTCCAGAAACCATCAAAATAAAGGTCAACTAGACAAAGCCTGTCTCTGAAAATTTACAAAGACAGGCCAAAACCATCTAATAAATAATTAAAGGTCAAAGAGGCAAACCCTGCCTTTGAAAATTTACAAAGACAAGCCTATGAACAGGGATATCTCTGAAAATAAGGGATATTTTTAGCCTTAGAAAATAAGCCCAAAACGTCACAATAAGAACCTTAAGAACACCCCCCCAATCCCCATCCGGCAAGTGCTCCCTACACTCCAAGGTCTATCTGTCAGTCTCTTTGCTGTATCTATCTCTCTAGCATCACCCCTTCTCCCCCACATAGACTCCTCCAACACTGGCCATAGCTCCTCCACGCGACTCCCCATGCCCTACCGCCCTTCTCCAGCATCGCCGCCCCCTCACCAAAGTGAATGCTCCCGTCTACTGTTAGCACATCCCTTCCCGAGCCTTGACCCATTCATCTGTAACCATCGAGTAGATCCACAGTGGAGAAAGTACGGAGATGCTTGCATGGGTGCTCATCAAGGTGTCCTTCAGAAGAGTTTCTACTTGGGCTAAAGTGTTAAGAGGGATTGATGGCAGACCATAGATACAAATTTATATGGCAAACAATTATGAAAAAACAATAATGTAATTCTAACATAAGTTATGGTATTGATTTGCTATCACCCTACAAAATTTGAACTTGAAACTTAACATATACACATTGAGAATCAAAAATGAAAAAAAAGCTTATTAAGAGGTATATTAAACACAAACTTAGTTTAGGGGGCCATCTAGATAACTTTCATATGCGTGGGCTTCTTTTCCTATTTTTAACATTATATAATATGCTTCTAGCAACTAGTGTTGTTCCAATAAAAAATAAAAGCAACGAGTGTTTGTTGACTTTTGACATGGGCTAGGAAAATGGCATGGATCGCTTCTGATACCTCCACCATACAGACATATATATATATATATCACTCCAAGGAATATACAGTACACAGACCTTCAATGATTATGTTGACATTGCTAGGCTAGCTACGTACTTTAAATTTGTGATAATGTGATGCTAGCAAAAATGGATCATTTTTAAAAAAAAATCTTCAAAAATCAAAATATACTGATTTCTAAACAAAGGTTAATCATCCTTATCAAAATGTCACCAGTTAATTATAGAAAATAAAATGTGACTGTGTTACTTAATTTTGGAGGGCTCTTTGAGAAAATAGCGGAAGAAAAACGAACATAAAATACAAGGCAAAAATCTGGAACCTGTAGACATTACACATATTTGCTGAACTGTACAGGACACAAGCTGAGACAAAGTAGTACTCAAGTTAGCACACATCTTGGACCAACACGTTTGCTAGATGAGAAGTACTCCCTCCATTTCAAATTGTAAGTCGTTCATAGCTAGCTCTTGCAATTTATATTATCCGGCACAAGTTTTTTGTTAGACAAAAGATTAAATTCATAGAGCTAGATGACCCTTTCATCAGTACAAACTAATAATAATAAAGGGTGAGAATGGAGATGAACTATATATGCTAACGAAATGTTTAATTAGTGCGTAAGTTTAGTTATATATGTCATTTGCAGCAATACTCAGTACAAAGTTTCATGTGTTCTGTATAAAACACTCCCTCTGTCCCAAATAACGAATAAGTATGCAATTATCATTTTCCGATGAGTTAAACAATTTCAAGTTCAACTAAATTCATGAAAAAATATTAACATCTATATAGCGATATTATTCTGTATCATTAGATTAATTACAGAATATATTTTTATAATAAATATATTTGAAGACATAAATATCGATATTATTCTCTGTATAAACTTGGTCAAACCTAAGAAAAATTGACTTGTTCCAAACATATAATTGCATTGTTTTTGTGAGGGTGAGGGGAGGGAGTAAATGAAAAGTAGTAATGATCGATCAAATTGCATGTGTATATAATATAAACTGCTAGAACTAAAACCAAGGAGCAGCGTCAAATCTTATGTGGCGACTCATATAGTCCACTTATGTCACTTTAATTATTAACACTTGCTCTAGGGTGCAAGTGCGCCTTTAAATAATCGCTACCTAGAAAGAACAATCTGATGGGGGAAAAAAAGAAGCTGTTGCATTTAACTGGCGGAGTACTGAGAAGGACAGCTGGATTAAGAAATCTGCAGCGTGATGGAGCATCGACACGAACGCGCACGTGTCAGGCACTGACACGACAGAAGTGGTAAGCCGTGCAGATTTTTGTTTATTGCCAATGATGCAGTACTAATCAACAATTAGTGAATTAGGACGAGGTAGCTAGCAAGCTAGAGAAAGCAAAAACTAGGAAGGGCCTTCCAAACGCTTTGTACTTGTATATATGCGTCGATCTTTCCAGCTGGTCCTAGAATACTTTCTTTGGGGAAGCACAGGACAGGCATCTCAAAAGAGGATTGGGCAGTTGCAGGAGGATCATCCAGACTATCAGAGGGAGAAGAGAAGAGAGAGAGAGGGAGAGAAAGAGAGGGCTTCTCCCATCTGAGAGAAGAAAGAGACACAGTAGCTAGTACCACCGTTCAAAAGTTTCTGCAACAAGGTATACTCCTATGTAGATAGTTAGGTCTCAGCTCTCTCTTTCTCTCTCTAGATCTGTGCTGTTGGGAAGAAGGAGATGATGAGAAGGAAGATAGAGATCAAGAGGATCGACAACGCGACGAACCGGCAGGTGACGTTCTCGAAGCGCCGGCGCGGGCTGTTCAAGAAGGCCAAGGAGCTCGCCATCATCCTTTGCGATGCCGAGGTCGGCCTCGTCGTCTTCTCCAGCACCGGTCGCCTCTATGACTTCGCTAGCACCAGGTTTGATTATTTGCTCCTCCTTGCTAGCTTAATTGATGACTATTTGTTAGATCTACTAACGACTAAGTACTTAATACATATATGAAACATACAGCCTATATACTCAAGCACCAATGAAGTGTTTTTTCCTTCGGTTATTAGGGCAGGAGAGAGAGATGCAAGTGGCATAGAATTTTGATACCTCGTACCTAGTACCAACTTTTACGGGGGAGTATGTTAATTTACTAGTATACCTCTTGGAAAGTAAAAAACAAAAACAAATGGATGGATTGCACTGTTTTATTTGTTACCTTGGCCTTATTTAGATTGGGGTTAGGAATCAGTATTTGGCACTGTAGCACTTTTGTTTGTATTTGACAATTATTGTCCAATCATGGCCTAACTAGGCTCAAAAGATTCATCTCGTAATTTACAATCAAACTGTGTAATTAGTTATTTTTTTATCTACATTTAATACTCCATGCATGTGTCCAAAGATTTGATGTGATAGAGAGAGAGTGAAGTATTTGAATGATGTTCCGGGCATGAATTTACAATCAAACTGTGTAATTAGTTATTTTTTTATCTACATTATAGCTTTGTAAGATTTTACTTTCAAGCTTTGTGTGGTAAACTGAACCGACGGGTGGATTCAGGTTTTCCAAAACATTATAGTTGGGGTTGCACATATATATTTGGCCAAATAAAGTTCAGTCATACGATTGAGTACGTATTTGCAATTTTGCAACCAAATTTTTTTAATTAATTTGGGGATCAAATTAACATGACAGACTACAGAAGGGAATTATAATATGTAGCTATTGGATGTGTTCCATGTGTCACATGTCCACAATCTTACAACGAATGTTTCCTTTTTAAACGGGAAGTATTTGAATGATGTTCCGGGCATGAATTTTTTGCTTTTCCCTTTTCCTTTTTATTATTTTATAACTTCTCATGATTTTACAGTATTTTTATTCTTAACATAGAATGATGAGTTTCAACTCTAGTGAATTAGTTTTACATGGAGTAAAATGAGTATGTATATTTCTTTGTTTTCTTGAATTTCTATATATGTTGATATCGTGCCTAGCTATATAAACCAAAACTGAATGGACGATTACACCCGAGATATTACTTTCACTATGTCTCCCCAAGTGCAATATGATTATTCTTCGGTCCTTATTACTTGATAATGTGAAAATGATTTTAGTGCGCTAGCTGGCTCAGCGCATACCAACATATATAAAGAAAAGTCTGACCATACATGGTACGGTACTTCATAAGTACGTTATTATACTAGAGAACTTATACATTGCTTGAAAATAATAATAGGCGTTCATTAGTCTAAACCTAATGGTTAAAAGTAGAGAGATACCTTCCTCCTGCACTCCATCGAGCACTAGGCGGATGGGTGCAGCGACCCACCCTTTCTATATGTTCTCTTCTACACAAAGGGGATTAAGTTACATTATTTACTAGACTAACCTTTAATCACAATTAATTAGTTCATTTTAAGATCAACAATTGATAAAATTTCTATAGGGTGGTTCCTCCCAAGCACCGTAACATATATCTCTTATACCTATATTATAGCCTTACATTAAAAATTATGCTTTTAGTGATATAAGAATTGGCATTTTAACAAGTAATAAATACTATTGGCGTATAACCCTTTTCTTATTTTTAGTACATTATATAGTACAAACACAAACTTACTGGTCAAATTTTCATGTAGCTTAATTTAAATGTTAATCAGGTGTGGCTAGAAATTAAACCGGCTTCCACTTTTTTTACTTCACTTGATATGACGTGTTAATTTATAATATACAGGGTATTCAGATTGCTCATATGTTAGAACGTACATGATAATATTTGCGAGCCCTAGCCATAAGACGATAGTTCAAGGGTCAAACTACCCAAAACCTAATTCTACATAAGATAAGCGAAAACCATTCAAGTAGACACTTTTCTATCTCTCTCAGAACATATTTCCACTACATGATTTTTGCACACAGTTCAAAGTTTTTCAAGAAAATGGAGTACAACACTCAACAGAAGTTTTGCTTCGTAGATGGCTATTTTTCACTCTGAAGACGACCCAATATCAATGCAATAATGACAATGAATCAACTTAAAAAGTTGGTGATTTGGAAAGAAATAAACTGATATTTTTGTCTATAGAAACTTTGCCACCTTTTGTGAGGTAAGTCTAAGACCTGGCACGTGCAGTACCAAGAGATTTGGGTTATGTATGACCTTTAAAAGCCAGAAATTAACTTCATCATCTAAAAACATAGAAATACATTTTTAATTTATTATGTTGTTTATCCAATATATATATATATATATGCCAGCTATACTTACACTAGTACAAAACTGATTTTTACACAGGCGCCTCCTATTTCTTTAAGGACGGATTAGTTAGCAAACCATTTTTAACTATCGTCCGGGGTACTATAGCTTACAAACTAACACTGAAAATATATTTTTCATGGAAAGTTTTGTTAACTAAACCATCACGGAAAATATATTTGTTTTTAGGGGTGACCAGCCAGATTAATAAATCTTATTTTTTGCAACTTCTAAATGATTTTTAAAAAAGCTTGAAAATCATTTTAGAGACAGTTGTCAACCAGCCCTAAAAATGACTTATTTTTTCGATCGATGGCATGGTTTTAAAAGCTAGCTCTAAAAATCGTTTTATATAGTGTTTTAAAGCAGTTGCCGTAGTTGTGGCTACTTGATTTGTATCGTAGCCGCTGAGTAGTGCAGCTGTGACAAGCAGCATCTAGCGCTACAGAAGCACTTTCCATCACAGCCATAGAATTTGCATAGTGAAAGGATGCATTCAAATAACTACTCAAAGAAGTATTAAATAATATATTGATTGTTGAGCCATTAGATCCTTTTTGACACATATATTTGGGAGATAATCGTTCTCTCCAATAGCGGAAAGTAGCTCAATTTCTTATTAGCCCCGTCTGTAGAGCGCAGAAAATTACTGGGAAAATGCACAGTAATTTCGTATGAATCGGGAACCCACAATTTTCAAAAGGGCCTTACCAAGTGGTAAAAGATCATGTGCACTGCCTTTTGCTGTCTCTATTGCATGAATATTAATATCATCTAAGAACTTCAAACTGCACGGCAGGCTCCTGGATGATTAAAAAAGGTTAAGGGCCTGTTTGAGACAGGAGAATGTAAAACATAAAAATGAGAGAAAAACAGAGGAATACAAAAAGAATAAAGGTGTCAAATAGAGGATTGGAAAACTAGAAACGAGTGTTTGGAACACACGAACACTAATAGCATCAAAATCTATTGGTTTGTGCTAAACACAGTTGTCTAGATTAAACAGGAGCTAAATACACCTTTACAAAGCAAGATATATCAGTTAAAAAAATTTGAAGTGTCTTGGACGAGCCCACATGCATGGTTGTGCATGCAGGTAAGGAGTATGTAGATTAGTGCGTGAGTGCACAAGAGCCACAGGAAATATTCCCATGAGCTCAGAGCTCATTTTTTTTCTTTCCTCCAAAACTGCAGGTTTCATTATCTTTCCTTTTGAACGGTTTAGGTCTCTTCCCTTATTCCAAACGTTCCTACATTGAAAAAATCCTATAGAAATTTGATTCCTTTGTTCTTCCTATATCTTTCCCATGAACCAAACAGGGCCTAAAATGGTAGGAAAGAAACATATCATTCTTGTGTTCATAAACTTTATAGTAAGTCTGGTCTGATTCCTCTTTCGAGGAGATGAAACCGGATGTTTAATTTCATATCTAAAAAAACACATTCCTGCCTTATCTTTTTATTATTCTCTTGGCCTACATCGATAAACTTTAGACAGGTACATTACTCCCACTACATAAGGGTGTCATTTTGTTATGTCCTACGCACAGCAGGCTCGCAACTGTGTTATTTTCTGGGTCCTATATTAGTTGTTATCTCTATTTTATATTGCGGCAAATTTGTGATTGATGTGACTAATTCTAACAGAAAAAAATATTTTTTATCGACCAGCATGAAATCTGTGATTGAAAGATACAGCGAGGCAAGAGAGGAGCACCATCAGACTATGAGCGCAAGTGCTGAGGCCAAGGTATGATATGAACTTAATTTGTATTCTCTTATCTTAGTACTATATATGAAGTAGCATTATACGTCCTGTTCATTTGAACTTGTTTGGCTGATAAGTCATGGCTGAAAGTACTGTTGGTTGATTTGGTATGAGAGAAAAATGTTGTTTGTTGGCTGAAAAAGTATGACTTATAAGCCAAACAAGACCAAGCGAATAGGGCGTACCTCCTAATGTACCATGTACGGTACACCCCATCAGGCAGTGATGATACTTCTAGAATTTTTTTTGCGGGGAGAGATTCTTGGCCAATCCGCTTTTTCTCTTCCTTTTTTCCCTGAAACTGTGTCAATCCTAATTTCCTCTATAAACTGCAGTAGAAATCCGCGTGCAAGAACCCAAGTTATTGGCTTGAATGTTAAGATTTTTTGCACTGTATGAAAACTTGCAAGAAAGGAAGGCCCATAATCCAAATAAAATACAAACCAACTTTAAAGTCACTGGGCCAGGCCATGATCTTTCTGATAACCAAGGCCCACTGAGCACTACCGAACCTTATGATTTTCCTACAGCGGTACCCTTGCATGGGGCTAGATGTGATATTACATTTGTATAATTATAATTAATATAAAAAGTCCAACCCACTTTCTCAAAAAAAGAATCCAGATTCATCAGCATTATTATGATGTCCAAGCACTTCTACGTCAGCCACTATCGATCGAGCATGCAACACAATAATTAAGATGCTTGCGTTGGGTAACTCCAATCCGATGTGCCCTGTGCGCAACATTTGGTACAATGTATATGATACATTACTACAGAGAGTTTGGGACGAATGCAGGAATGGAACATATATTGTTTAGCAGGGCTAATTTGGAAAGGGAAAGGCACACCCAGGGATGGAAAAACCTTTATGAAGAACTAAATTGTTATTCAAATT